TACTGCCCCACTGCACCCCCAAAAGAAAAGAAAAACAGAGTGCAGTATTTGTCAAGAGTGTTCTGTTTCCTGGTTGTTTTCTTCATCTAATAATACTCTTAATAACTCTATAAAATAGGTAGGGGAAATGTGTAGAGGGAGTGAAGGAGGAGTTCGCAGAAGCCTAGAGAATATTCCCATTAAAGAACCTTCAGAGTATGAGAAACTTACCCAGCAGCTCAAAGAGAGGGATCAGTTAAGTGGCAAGTGAAAAGAATTTGAAAGCCTAGATACCAAAGGGAAGGGAGGTTTTAAGAAGATGAATGCTCCAAGAAAGAGGACATTGCTGTTTTGTTTACATCTGTATCTCCAGCACCAGAATCTGTGCCTAGCATAAAGAAGGTACTCTGTTAATATTTACTCACTGAAATGCTCCAGAAAATTCAAATACGATAAAGGACCAAAAGATACCCATGGCAGCATCAGTGTGATGGAGGGGCTAAAACCAGATTATAGCAAGATACTTTTGTGGCTGTACATAAAATTGAGAGTTAAAGACAGAAATTGCATGTGCATGTGGTATGACCCACTGAGGACATCAAAATAGAGACCAGAGGAGATATTAGCATAGAACCAGTGCATAGGGAGTTGGAAGCTTGTAAGGGGTTTAATTTTTACTTAAGTTACATTAGCCTAGTAAAGAATTTTTCCTGCCATTGGGACAAGTAGGCTGGAATCCGAGATTTTTATTTGTTGCCAAAGAAATTCTGAGCAACCTTCAACTTCCTTTTTCACTTCTTATTCCATCCATGGAAATGGTGTTTTGCAATCTCTTAAAAGCCCTGGAGCTCTGAGGTGTGGTGTGGTATTATATACCTGTAATCCCAGCAGTTCAGGAGACTGAGGCATGAGGTTTGGGCCTAGCTTTGGCAGTGTAGCAAAGCCCTAAGTCACTAACTGAGACTCTGTCTCGAAATTTAAGAATTTAAAAAATGGGTTGGAGATGTAGCTCAGTAGTAGAGTGCCCCTGGGGTCAATCTCCAGTACCAAGCAAACAAAAAAATTGTGGGGCCTCATTGGCTTCTGTTGGGGGCCCAAAGAATTCCTAGGGTTCCTCCTGTGCTAGTTGAAACCGCACTGTCCTGAAGATGACACTGATGGGAACTTCAATGGCAGGTTAGGAGAACCCTCAGTGTCATTAGCGCTGCAGAGCCAGGAGCTCTCATGTCCTGGTTTTTATATCCGTTCTTGATTTGAGTTATAGACCTTAGGCTTCTCTTCTAAATTTTTTGTTTCCAGAGCCTCTCCTTTTAGGAATTAAGTTTTATATTTTACACACTACGACCTTAACAGCAGCATATTTGAATGAGAATTAGATTAGATTGAATTTCACAGACTTGATTGAATGCTGTATCTTTTTTGTTTTCTTTGTTGTTCATTGGTAATATGTTATTTTAGTTTTCAGTTGTTAAAATCTATTGTCTCTTTGGAGAATAGGGTGTGCCCTCAGTTCCAGCAGTCAGCTGGGTTTTCTTGAAAGGAAATAGGGACTCAAAAGCAGAGTTAGCCTTATAAGTGGTAGAGCCAGGAGTGTTCATTATTTTCTTAAATTAAAAAAAAAAAAATCAATGAATTTCTGCTTCTCCAGAAGCCCCTCTTCCTGTAGGTCTTACAAGGTGGCTTAAATATTGGGCATAGAAATGTTTATCACATGTTATTTCTTTTTCCAGATGGATAGCAAGACTCTTTGAAATAAGCCCATTTGAGCCCTGGACAACGAGGGATAAAGTGGAACGGGTGAGTGTGCCCAGGCACATGCTGGGCTGAGAGCTGCAGA